AATTAATCTTTTTGCAGGGGCCATATAATTCATGTTTCGTACAGTAATATGGGCTACCCACAGACCAAAATACAATGTTTATTGTAAAGTTGGCAAAAACCATTCCAAAAAAAAGAGAATAAAGTTGGCAAGATTATAAAATTTTAGCCAATGCCCAGAGGGGGTGCTGCATGTAACAAATTATAAGTAGGAACAAAATTTAAATGGTGGGACATATTTTTTTTTTAATTTTTAATTTTAATGAGAACATGCATATATTAAGAATGAAAGAACAAGACAAAGTGAATTTCCCATATATGTTGTTAATGATGTTACTTTGAGTATACCAGTGTGGTTCCAAAACAATGATGGGGAAGATGAGGTTTATGATTTGCTAAAGTGTAAAAATAAAATAAAAAATGTGAGATGATTTTCATTGAAAGTGGTCGAAACTTTTGCAAGTGCTTTAGGTTATACTTTATAGCTTTATTGGAGCTGACAAAAGGGTTGGGGTGGTCATGGGCCTATGAGCTGCAAAGCCGAGGCTGCTGGATTTCCATGTGTGTCTGTGAGAAAAAGAGAGATTTTAAATCCAATATGATTCTTTTTGCTTTATTATGCTTCCATCTCTGCATTGCACATATATACAAAGCCCAATATTATCCCTTCAATCAAGATTTTTTCTTTTTCTTTTCCTTTTGGGATGGAATTTCGTATATCCATGGTTCCTGTGATATATATGATTATAAGTGCTTTTAAGATTTTTTATTGAAAAATATGTGTATTTTTTAGTAATTTTTTTAAAAAACACTTCTAAAATTGTATCTAAATAAAAGTGCATTTAAGTTTTCTAACAAGAACTTAAGTGAAAATTAAGTAATCATTTAAAAAATTTAATATAAAAAAATTCATTTTTTTTACGATAACACTTCAATTTTAACTTATCAAGATAAAATTAATGAAATTTTAATAGATACCAAAAAATTAAACATAAGTTCACACGTTATATTTTTTTATCCATATTTATTTGATTAATTATGGGCGAAAGAAATATGAATTAAATATGTCCCTAGTTTTTATAATATACTTGTTTTATGTTTCTAGTTCCTATAATTTTTTAGGTTTATTTTGGTCTCTATAAAATCTTAATTGTTAATTTTAGTTTTTTGATGTTATTTTTTAAATTGCTACAAGATATAGACTTTTAATAAGATTCTTATAATATCTTATTTTACGATTTTAGTCATTGATTTTTTTCAATAGATTTTTGTTACGTGATCAATAATAGTGTCAAAGATTAAAATTATAAAATAAAATTTTACAAGGGACAAATCAACAACATTTTTGATAAAGATTAAAATCATAAAATGTATATATGTAATAAAATACATCATTTTTAATAAAAATAGGTATTTAGTGTTTATTAAATATATATCAATGAAAGAGGAAAATAAATCCTTATCTATTAGTTCGCCCTAGACCCATATATTAACAGAACCAGATTATATATTTACATGGATAACAAATAATGCATGTGTTGAAATATTGACAGTAAATTTTTTCATTAATTATGATTATTTATTTTACTTTCACTTATTTTATAGTCAAATCCCAATGTAGAGTATTGCTAGCAGCCAGAAGAAGTTGCTCATAGAATGAGTTGACCAAAGACCAACAACTTAATCAGATGATAAATCTTTGTCTAAATGTGTTTTTCTTGATGTTGCATTTTGTGCTTTCGGCTTTCTAGTGATATTGGAGAGGAGAGCCTTCTGATTTTTTCACTCTTCAACATTCAACGTCCTTTGGAACTAAACAAACAATGATGAGATAAGGCATGGAAAAAAGTGTTTTGTGATGAACAATAAGGTCACGTGGTCATGAAAAATACAAAAAAGGTTTTGGGGTGGTCAAATCTTTGAAAAGTTCGCATTTTGCAAGTTTGCTTTAGACAAATATCTTATATCCGTGTATTGCAATTGGCGAGTTCATTGATTGGTGTATATTTACGTTAAGTAAGAAAATTAAGGCAAGTTATAATAAAGTTCTTCCTACCAACTTTTAATGTACTTATATTCAGGCATGGAGCTAGTGATAGATGTTAAGGAGTAAAAATTTAGGTTTATATATGTGTCAATTTCAAATGAAATATTCATATTTTCTAAATATATTTGGAGATGAGGTGATTTTAGCACTAAGTTTTAAAATTTTTAAAATTACAATTAATTTTTAGTTTAGTTAACTTTTTTCCTTCTAATATTAAGTTTTAAAATAAATTTTAAAAGACTCTTATCTTGTTAAAATTAGTTTAAGGACATGTGTGTGATGACAATAATGATAATAGTATTAATAATTATGGTAGTGATAATAGTGTTTAAAATAATAACAATAATATCAATAATGGTGATAACGGTGTCAATAATAATAATGACAACATTATTACTTTTACCAGAGGTGGAAATGATGATGTGAAGAACCATCGACAAATTTTACAAGAATGTAATAATTTATAATTTAAAATTAAAAACTAAATTCACAATTTTTTTTTCTTGATTTTGAAAATGAATGTATAAGTATTTTGAAATTGTGTTAAAAACCAAATTCACAATTTTTTTCTTGATTTTGAAAATGAATGCATAATAGTTTTCAATATTTTTTTATTTATTATTAACTCCTTAACGAGAATATAGAAAGGATTCAAATTCATTGAAACATGTTAACAATTTCCTTTATCTCCATTCAAGTCGTTGATTATTGCGTCATATCCGTTAACATTGAGTTTAACTCATTAAATATTAAATCAAATTTATTTATTTTATTGAAGAGACAAGCTAAACCCTTACCCACTTACAGCAATATCCCTGTGTGTAAGCATACTAACAAGAGAAAGTGAGAGAGGAACAGTTCATAACTTAATATTATATATTTTTTATTGGGTAAATGCATATATTAATGAATTTCGAAAAGCCACTAAAGGATGAATAGAGAAATTAAAATAGTAAGAATCACCATCAGCATCAGAAGAATCACAATGCCACACGTGATTTCCCAAAATATTTTCTGCTTTGTAACTTTAAGATATTTCCCTCAGCTTCCTTCCTTTGAGAATAGTAGAAGTTTGGAATAAATCCAGAAGAGTGTTCAATGTCCGTTGTGTGCAAAAAAACTTCCCAATCTGTGATACTCACATTACCACAAGCAAGATTAATCTCTAGACAAATAGATTATGAGCTACCCGTGACAAAACAAAAAAAAATCAATGTTTTGCGAATTTTGTTGCTGATAAGGGGGACTTCTACATGACCTGGCGAGAGCAGCTAAGGACTCTGCCTTTATCAACTTCATTATCTTTGTAGTGTAGTTCCAAAACTTCAATTCCATTGTTGAATTCTTCATCAGGACTAAGGATGTTGCATTCAGAAGCTATAGCCATTGCAGTTAAAACATCCACACTTGTGATTAAGTTGAGCTTCACCCTTGCTTTGTTTGCAATCTTTTACAGCTTTGGTTACCCCAGCTAGCATAGTATCCTACGAACCAATCAAGGCTAATAATTGAGTCATCTTCTAGTTGTTGATGAGTACCCAGTATCATGATTTTCTATTTTGAGTACTTCATGTGCATATGATATGCACTTGAACCCTTTAGCCATCACTTGGACTACATGATATAGCTTTCTCAATCACTTCAATCCCATAGCCATGGAACAAGGATGTTAGATAAAAGCATTGCCTTGGGATTTTCAATTTTAGATGAGTACAAATACAATTTTAGAGTTGCAACTAAATGTAAACTGAAATATGACTATAGAAGTGATGTGTACTAATATTCTCGTGTTAAAATCTATTTGAATATAAATTTAAAAATATTTTTGAAAGTTTCTTTAATAAAAATACTTTTTATTTCTAATGAAACTTTCAAAAACACTTTTATCTTGTATCCAAATAGACTTTTACACTATTTCCCATAATTTTTTTAAGTAAATACTATACTTAAACCTGAACTCATTTAGCAATCAATCTTCCTTTGTATTATAAACACACACACACACATATATATATATATATATATATATATATATATATATTCTAAATTAACATAAAGTATGGGTCTAATTGTCATTTTACAAGGTACTGTCCCTTCTCTATTTTTGTGTGGATAACATGAATTTTGAGTCTAATTGTCATCTCTGTTTTTATTAGGTACTACCCTCACCCGTGTTTTCGAAAATTATTCCCCTTATATTTATTATTTTACTGCAAATCTGTCAAGAGTCAAATGACATTTTATCACAGTGTCAAGATAAGAAATCAGAATATACCAACACCTATAGCCAAAGATGTTATGAAAAAGTTTCCAATGATATAACAATTGAAATTGGAAAAGAAATACCGCAAGACGGTCAAGCAGATGTTAAAGGGGAGAAAACTCGATTATTACAATAGATGTAGCCAAAGATTCTTAGGAGAAAGAAGCCTGCTTGAAAATGATTCACTGAAAGGAGATACTCATGCAAATGACGTAAATTAAAAAAATGAAATGAGTCCAAGAGATGAAGTTGAAGATGTTCAGAAACGTACTGGACTCTGAAGATTCAACAACTGAACTTCGAAAAGTTACATATATGAAGACAATCACACGACACCCCCTTCTCCCCACCCCCAAAAAGAAAAAGAAAAAAACAGAAGTAATTTTGAATATAACCACCCAATATGGACTATAGTTTCTAATCCTCTTTTAAATTCTCCATTCTTTATTTTCCTAGCTAAAAGAATTACAAAACCAATGGAAATTTCCAAACCAAACATTTTCTGCTTTCTGCATATGACACTGATGACTAATCTATGTAACATGTCTATGTTATTGATAGGTGAGAGGAAGATATATGTAATTACCTTTGATAGTAAAGCCCGATTATTTGTCATTCACTTCATTGCATGGGAAATTGTCATACCCATACCCAAAGACAATGATTCTGGCAACAGCTATTGTGGTTGTGGTGATGTGACTACAAATCAAAATACAAGAAAATACCAATTTAGTAGGATAATTCACTTTGATCAAGCTACTAACAATCCTATCCATGGCTATTGTAAGCACCATGAGGGGGTTGTCAAAGAGATTTCCATTAGTGAAATTCATGGCTCATGACCTCACCATATTTTGTTTCTCTACAAACACAACTTGCTTTTGAAAAATAATATACGAAAGAGAAAAATCTACAATTAACACCAAGGAATATGAATGTATTCTTCCACTCTGTTACAATCATAATTCGATACTCTTATTTCTTCTTGAGATCAATTCCAGCCTTCTTTGCCACTGCATCAAGTCCATTCTTCTCTATGGTCTTCAATGCTTTCGTTGACAAACGAAGCTTTACATAGCGCTTCCCTGCTTCCCACCAAATTCTCTTGTACTGAAGGTTCACAAACTGCAGTTTCTTAGTCTTATGGTTTGAAAATGATACTTTGTTGGCCCTGTTTGATTTCTTTCCCGTGAGGGGACACACTCTCCCTGAAAAAACAATAAAATCACAGCACTATAAGAATCAATCACCAGGCTGCTAGTTAAAACTGTTTCAAAATAATGATCACAATTGCAGTTGGATGCCTCGCAAACCAATGACTATGTTTAGTGAAGATTCACACAAACAAGCAATAATATTAGTTATGCATGTCAAATAATATTGTTAGTTATGCATGTTCTCTAATTAAAAAGTTAAGAGGGAGTTTGGTTTCAAAAATATATTTTCTATTTTCAATTTTAAATAAAAGACGTCCAGTTACTTTTACTTTATTTTCTGTTTTAAAAAAATTTACAGAACAGTGAAATTAAGAAACAAGGAAATTCACGTGATATTCCTACATTTGTTTTCTTACACTAATCCCCTTTATTGTTTGAAATACGTTATAGTCACACCTAATGTTACTCGAAAAACAAATTACAGCAGGTCCAGTGTGCCTATAAGGAGGGTATATGCAAGTTATGTTGTGAATTTGGAAGAAACCACAGGGAGTGAGTGTACAGATGAATTAATTAGGGATAAAACTCTAACTAGAATTGGAGAACAACATCAAGAGTAGTAGCTAGAGAATTGACTTACTGGCAACGATAGGGAGAGGTGGAGTGAGAGTGAGAGTGAGAGTGAGAGTGAGGGGTGTGGGAAGCAATTTGGGGTTGCAGATTCTGAGGCCGCTCAACTGAGAGGTGACGAACCCAAGATCCGCTGAAAAGGGTGAAATGAATACTTCATTTGACATTTGAGGAAATGAAAATGAAAGTGAAGAAGAAGAATTGACTTACAGGGCTTACTCGCACCGAAGCTGTTCCTGAATGAAACCGCACAAGTTGCTGTTGCTGTTGCTGTTGCCATTTTGCCTCTGCCTTCGTTATCTCTTCGCACTGCGCTGCCCACACACGCTGCACCCGGATAACATCTATATTCAAAAGTCTCAAAATTTCCCATTTCTTTTTGGTAATTTAATATTTTTATAGCTATTTTTAATTTTTAAAACATATACATATAATTATAGGTTTAAATATGTTTTTACCTCCTTAAATTTAAGACAAATTTATTTTTGATCGCTCAAATTTAAAATTATTGTTTTTTAATTTCTATAATTTTCAAAAATCTTATTTTAATCTCTCAGATCACCAATAACATATCTTAAAGTAATAAATTAAAACGATTATGCAATATCAATTAGATTTAATGTAATATTTTCAGTAATAAAGATACCAATAGATAGATTTTATGCAATAATATTTGATAAATTTTTTAACAAAATTTAAATATAAGGACTAAAATAAATTTTTTTTTTGAAATTATAGGGACTACAAACATTAATTTTAAATTTGAGGGACTAAAAATAAATTTACCCTAAATTTAAGGGATTAAAAATATATTTAAATCATAATTATAATAAGATAATTTTGAAATGATTATAATATTTGCATATAACATAAAAATCGAATAATGTTAAAAAATCAACGTAAAGTTATAAACCGTAATATAGAAGTAATAAAGAGATAATAAAGGAGAAAATATAAATTTTTTTGTCTTATTTTTAACATGGAGATAGTTTATTTATAGATATAAATAGTTACAAATAAGATTATTGTATTAGGTGAAATATAAACAAAAATAATGAACAATCACTATTAAATATTCATTACACTCCCTCTTGGATGTCCATTGTTTGAGAATATGCCATGTTAAAACCTTATTAAGAAAAATCCCGTTGGACAAAAATTCAGTGAAGGAAAAAAATATATCATTCTTTAATACAACATCATATACTATCTTGTTCAAAACCTTGTGAGAGAAACCTAGTGAGACAACCATGATGAAGGGAAAAAAAGTGTAGAATGTCTCTAATGTAGACAATCATCCTTAAGAAAAAGACCAATCTAGTGTATTAGTTGTTCAAAAATTGTACTTGTTAACGACTTTATAAAAAAATTTGATAGGTTCTCACATAAGCAAACTTATTGAATAACTATATCACTACTCCTTTGAAGATCATAAGTTTAAAAGAACTTAGGAAAACTATGTTTTCTTCCATTTCTTTTAATTCATTCTTCTTTTAACTAAGCAATAAATGCAACAATCTCTCATATATGACTATGCTATCACATGTAAACAAAAGTTTTGACCAAAAAAGCTTTAAGATAATAAAAAAATGTTTTTGACTTTGTTCCAACAATATTTCATGTAAGTGAAAAACTATATATTACAAGTAAATTAATAACAAATTATATATCAAGTGACGTATAATCAACAAGATATATCATTGCTCATATGACTAAGTAACACTATCCATTTTCTTGAGATTTAGAATGATCATAAGTTTAGAATCCACGTACTAAGATCTGACAATCATTGGAGTGCACAATAAATGTGATATGTCCATATAAATCTTTTTAAAAACCTTTGTTATATAAACTTGTTGATGCACAGGAAACACCATAATTTATATATTCAAATTGTAATGATAAGCAAAAATTATTTATTTTACATCCTTTGTCTCAATCTCATCTTTGTGAAATCTATAACTTTTTGAATCTCTTCCAGTGTTCCAAAAATATTTATGTCATCTACACAAATAGAAATCATGATAAACTCAATATTCCATATATTTTCTTATAAATACATGAAAAAATCATATGATTCTCTTAACATATATTCGTTAAGATGATTATACCACATCATACATATTATTCTAGTACACAATGTGACTTACTCAATTTGATTGAATAATCTTTTAAAGAACTTGCACCAATGTTTTTGATATGTTAAATCTTTTAAGGAGTTTTATTTAAACTTTTCCATCAAGTGTATCACGAAAATGCTTGTAAAATACATTAGAAGTAAATTGAGTTCTTTATATATATCCTAACTTATTTGGTATTGAAAAATACTTACATTCACTACATGTGGATGTCTTTTTAAGTTAGATGTTTGTGAAAATCCATAATTTTCAAGGCATGTTTTGCATCTCCCAAGTTCATTATTCTCATATTTTTTTTTTACATAAAAAGATCATTTCTTAGAATTTATTATTTTGATATTGTCTTCAAGACCAATTACATCTAAATGCATTTCATATTCACATAATACAACAATATACAAAAAAAATGAATAAAAGAATACTACTAATGAGATATTCTAATTTTGAAACATGAATTCAAGAATATAACTTTACTTAAATAAGATTTATTATATAAGCATGTACCTTTGTGCCTTTGAGTTTTGTTGTAAAGAGTCGTGCTAATATCATGTTATAAAAATTAATATAAAGTTATAAACTATAATATAGAAACAATAAAAAGAAAACAGAGAAAGCAATATAAAGGAGAGTATGTAGAGTTTCTTGTCCTATTTCCAACAATGAGATAACTTATTTATAAGCATAAATAATTAAAAATAAAATCATAATATTAAATGAAATATAAATAGTAATAATTAACAACCATCATTAAATATTTATAACATATAGTCATTATTATTTTTTAACTAAACTAAGAGTTTATTACATGAAAAAAAACATGTCACACATAATACCATTGACCTACGTAATGTCAAGTAAAATACTAAATATTGATCTAAAATTATTTCATTCATAAAATTATTAATTACTTTCCCTTTATCGTATTCATTCAAAAATTGTTTTAAAAAATAATAATGTTATCATTTTTAATGTAGTATTAATTGATTTTTTTATATAAATTATTCAACTATTATAATTAAAAATAATATATTCATTGATAAGATAAATTATTATAATAGAATTGTAAAAAAGTGAAATATTTATTATATTTTTTAAGTTATGTAAAGAAACTTTAAAATGTTGGGAGTATTGTTAAAAAAAAAAACATTTCGCACATAATACCATCAATTGACAACAAAAAAAATTAATATAACTATTATTTTTGTCAAAGAAAATATTTTAATACATTAAATGATATTTTAAAATATTACATTTTATTTTTTTTATTAATAAATAGAGTTATTATTTCTTATTTCTTATGATATAATAAATAGGAACATATATGATTAAAAATATTTCTTTATGCGTAGTTTAATGGATTTATTTTAAAACCTTCATACTACTTTTAATGCATTAAAAATAAACTTTTAACTTTTTGATATACATCTAGCAATTATTAAATGGAGAATTTGACTATGGGTTTAAAAAATTGGAAAATTTTATAAAATTAAAATATTCAAATTTAATTTAAATATATTAGAAAACTCATTTAATGTAATAATAATTATCAACATATATTAAAATAATTTAAGATATTAATCATATTTAATTAATTCACTAAGAATGTGATTTCTACTTAATTACATTTTTTTAACAATATTACTTGTATATATTGTTAATTGTAATATCATAATTCTCCTAATTATGTATATTTATGATATATGCAATTATGTATATTGTTTGATGTTGTTTAAGTTGTTTTATCTGTTGTGAGATATAAGTTAGTGTTGATATAATCCTAGACTTAAGATATAACTTAAATATGTAAGAGTTGATATGGGGAGAGCTAAAACATATAAGAAAAATTTGAAAAAAGAGCTTCATAAGTTTATATTTCAATATTTCTAGAAACAAGTTAGAAAAAAAAAACTCTAAGACTTCAAGTTGCTATTCAAGCTTTTGAACGCTTGTAATTAAGATTGTGGATCTTCCCCAAAGTTAGAGATTGGAGTGTCTTGAACACAATCTAAACTATAATAGCTCAGACACATTAGAATTAGAGATCTAGAGTTTTATATAGGTGTGAGACTGTGCAGTTGATGATGACTTAAATTAATTAATTTATTTTACCAATACCAACAATATGTATATACTTTTAAGTAGCTCATCACTTAAGAACTCCACAAAGTATGCTTGACCCAAAGTGATTTAACGATGAGTAATCTTCTGAGAAGTTTCTTAGAAAGTATATAAGGACAAAATACATTGAAAAGAATTGTGTTGTTTGTGTGGATAGTCGTTAATCCTGAAGGTGATTAGACATCTTAGAATGGGCGACCCATCGAGGATTTTGATCAATGAAAGATTTTGACCAATAAAAAACTGTGTAAAATGTCACTCTATGAAAAAAATCACTAAAATATCAAATTTGAAGGGTATTACATAAACCATCACACACATGTGAGTGTAATGTATCATTTAGCCTAGTCTAATAAAAAATGGACATGTCACTGCTACATACGATTAACATTGTTAGTAAAACAACACAAGAAAAGATAGCATTGCATATATTTTTGTAATAGGAGAATCACATTAAACATTTTAAGAAAAGAAATGCTAATAAATCACATTGAACATGTCAGTACTACATAGGACTAACATTATTAGTAAGACAACAAAAGAAAAGATAAAGTTACATATTTTTTTGCAACAAGAGAATCACATTGAACATTTAAATAAAAGGAAAACTAATAATTAACATATTTTCTATCAATAAATTGTTGATTCAAATGATACTAGAAAATGGTCTTAAGTTTGAGTCTTGTATATAAAAAAAAAGTGGTTGGAAGGAAAGACTTCATTAAAGGTGGACAGTCAAGTATCTTGACATAGATTAGTCATTAGTAAAATCAGTTTATACTTTATAATAATAACATTGTTACCAAAAAATTAACACATTCTCAAAATTTAATAAAAACTACAAAATCAAGAAAGAGACTTATCTCTAAAAAAAACAGAAAGAGACTTATTAACTACCGCCTTTGTCTCTAATTATATGAATTTTTCAACAAAATTACATCCTTTAAGAAAAGTAGTTAATTTAGTTAAGAACATAAAATTTATCCATAAACTACTTTTCCAAAATTTTTTTCTTTCCACTTAATCATTTTTCTCCTGATTAATTAATCAAGAAAGAGAGTATTTTTATCCAATTAATTTCAAGCATTTATTATCTTTTGTCTAAAAGAATTATTAATTAAATAAGGTATTTTAGAGAAAATATAAATAATATAATTGACAGTTAGAAGAAAATTTTATAAAAGTGGGCAAGTTAAAAAGTAAAAAATGTCTTATATATAGAGACAAAGATAATAATTAGAAGTGAGATCCACCATAATTTATAATTTAAAAATAGAAAATTTTGATCTGCCCGTCAAATTGATATTTGTAAATCTTTAAGTTTTAACGTTACTCATACTTAAATAATGTAACATTTAGTGACATAACATTAAAAAAAAAATGCAAATAAGTTTTATTAATAAAATAAATATCAACCACTTATTAAAATATATAAAAATAAAGATTTTTGTATGTTATTTTTTAATTTTTTATTTTTATGTGTCATTACTAAATATTACGTCACTTAAATGATGACAGATCACCAAACAACGTTAAATTTTAATTATCCATGAATATCAAATTAACGATAGAACTAAAATTCTATATTTTTATAAATAGGGAATTAAATATTTCTATTTTAAAATAAGGAGACTAAAATTACAAATTGATAAAAATAAAGAAATAAAAAGTACAATTTAACCGATATATTTTAACTAACAAATAACAAAAAGTATGTTTAATAGAGTATAAATGAGTTTAGAATTTATGATTTAATAGAGTATTAAAGAGTCTCTTTCTAACATTTTTCTTAAATAATAGGGGTAGCATGCAAAGTGGAAAAATTAATAAAAATAGAGTATAAAAAAAAACTATCGCAACTCTAATATAATAGTTGGCTCTTTATAATTTTTAAATAGAAGTGAAAATCAGAACCTACATAAACTAGGTTTCGGTACTCATACAACTTATCTCGTAACTAAAGTTCTACGGAACAAAATCTGCCATAAAATACCCAGCGAACAGTAAATAGTGTTAATCAATCTCCAATTGCAAACAAAGCACTTAGGGCTATTGGATTAAATAAACTGCTACAATCATTTCGGCAAAAGAATGGAAAGAAAATTTTGCAAGCAGAGTCATGTAATCTGCTACAATCATATTTGGTGTCTTTATTATCACTTTTATTTCATTTCTTTGAATAATTAGTTTGCTTAAAGGATATTTTAGATGAAAGTTAGTTAAATAAGCCATAGAAATCACTCGTTTCACAAAAGCCACCAACTTTTCTTTATGTTTCCTTTCGAAGAATAAAAGAAATGAGAAGGGTCTGAGTTGTTAAACTTCTTATCATATAGAAAAGTAGGAAGTACCGAAAAATAATGCACACAATCATGAGACCAATACTAACAAACTATGGTACGTGTTTCCCAAGCCACCTTGCATACAAAGAATAAACTTTTAAGTAAAAAAAATGAAGAAACAACATACCCAAGTACTTAAACCTAATCATGATCATCACACCATTCTCTTCACAAATGGAAAAAATAAATAGCCAATGGCATTGTGAACCTCATTGTTGCCAATTGTTAAAGTGCATGTCCCCAGTGCCTACCTGTCTCATATATGGTTCATACTTCATTGGTCCATGGTAGTCATTTTCAGACAGTGCAACAAAACCCTCAACTCCTTACTTTAGAAAAGGCAAAAACACTTGGAAAGTTCTCTAAAACACATGGAAAGCCGTTTGAGGTTGAACATGTTTTCCCAAAAGCTCAACAACAAGCAGTATAAGAATAGAGATGATTATAATTTATAAGTTGTTAAATTGTAATGCCCCCACTCTTCAATTATGTGTGTGCAAATTTCTTTTAGGAGGGTTAAGCCAAACCATCACGGGTTCCTGCATAACAAAACAATAGTTTAAGAGCATTTTAAAGCATATTCATAAGTATAGGCCAATGGTAGACTAAGGCTACTTAATAATCATGGACTCACCGAAAGTGAACATTATTTGGTCACATTATCTTAGATTATGAAGAACATGGTCTAAGTTAGCAACGACAGATAGAAAAGAAAAAGAGATGATGTATTATATATGTTCAATTACTTTAAGGGTATGCTTATTAGGAAGACAAAGGACCCAAAATGAGGCATATGGAGTAAGCAAGACCATGTTACTGGCTGTTTGGATCAAGTATAAACACTCTGGCAATGTCACAGAAATCAAGCTGTCTTCAAATGACTAAAGATAGGAGCATGTGAATAACATCATCAGTATCACTATCATGGTATGGCACAGCATTGTTGTTCTTGGAGAGTTGAACTTTAAGCCTTTCCATTGATATATCTTGTTCTATTATAAGCAAATCAATAGTGTGGGAATTATAGCATAATCTCTTTAGATTGGTTATATTGCAGGATTTGGAAAGCTGAGCATGGGCAACGAAATGGGTAATAACAATACATCAGCTATCAAAGGTACACGATATTGGAATGCTGAAGAAAATTTGGTTGAGATTTCTATTTTTTTTTTCTAACTTTCCTTCTCTCTTTTAATTTCATTTGCCATTTTTCAGAGGAAGATAACATAAGTGAAGCCGAGAGAAAGACTTTCCAAGAGGATACCAGTGAACTTGCAAATGGGGTGTCACAAGATATTCATGCAGGCAATGACAAGGAAGAAAATCAGAATATACCAACATCTATAGCCAAAGATGTTATGGAAAAAGCTTCCAGTGGTATAACAAATGAACTTGGCCCAGATACATGGCAAGAAGATGGTCATTCAGAAGATGTAAAAGGGAAAACTCAAACAATTGCAACTGATGAAGCCAAAGATGATGACACACATGAGAAAGCTATATGGTTTGCTTCTAACCATACAACAAGCATGCTTGAAAATGATTCAATGGAAGGAGATACTCATGCAGTTGATGTAAATATGGAAAATCAAATGCTTCCAACAGCTGAAGCTGAAGATATTCAGGAGAAAGCTGAAGGGGTGGTTTCTGAGGATGCAGCAACTGAACTTGGAAAATTTGGACTTCAAGAAGATAGTCATGCATGTGATAAAAATATGGAAAATCAAATGCTTCCAACAGCTGAAGCTGAAGGTGTTCAGGCGAAAGCTTCAGGAGTGGTTTCTGAAGATGCAACAACTGAACTTGGAAAAGTTACACTGCAAGAAGATAGTCATGCAGATGATGTGAAAGACAAAATGGACATGATTCCAACAGATGAAGCCAGAGATGTTCAGGAGAAAGCTGCAGGAGTGATTTCTGAGGATGCAACAGCTGAGATTGAAAGAGTTACACTGCAAGAAGATAGTCAAGTAGATGGTGTGAAAGAAAAAATGGAAATGGTTCCAACAGATGAAGCCAAAGATGTTCAGGAGGAAGCTTCAGTGCTCAATCCTAACAATACAGCAAGCATATTTGAAAATGATTTGTTGGGAGAAGATACTAGCAAAAGCGACATGAATGTGGAAAATAAAATGCATCCAGCTTCTGAATTTGAAGATGTTCAGGAGAAAGCTACAGGGATGGCTTCTGACTGCACAAGAATTTCATTTGAAAATGATTTATTGAAACGAGATAATCACGAGAATGATGGTATTGTAGACCATCAAAAGCATCAAACAGTTGAAGGCAAAGATGATCACGTAGCAGCAAGGTTGGATTTCGATGATAAAACAAGTGAATTTGAAGATAAACTGCAGGAAGATAAACAAGATGGAAATGTAGTAATTCCTGTCGACATTGGTATAGATGATGAAGGAACAACTACCATCTCCGTATCCGATGATCCATTGAATTTGACAAGTTCTTTTGAAGGTGCAGGTCAGTAATTTATTTCGAAATGATACTCATCAAATAACAATTAGCAACTGTTCAGATCCCACATAGACTAGGATATGGCCAATATAGTCCTTAATATTCACTTTACAGGCTGATCTTGTAAGTTGAGTTAAACCTTAAATTCAAATTTTAAGGTGGTACCAAAGCTTATTCTAAAGAGTGTGAAGGGGAATGTGGAGATCCTACATAGATTAGAGATATGACCAATATAGTACTTATAAGGAGTTCTATTTTATCAATAATTTATAAAAAGTTTACTTGCAATTCTGTTTTATAGGGGATGAAATAACTGAAGTCAGACAATCTGAGAAGTCTCCAAATGCTGGATTAGTTGAAGCTGAAGATGAAAATTCTGAAAGCTTGTCAAAATCTTCATTGGAAGGCACTGAAGAACATGAGAAGCAAGAAGAGTCATGCTTGATAGAACATCTAGTAGTAACTTATAATCATCACCTTGATAACGAGCCTTCAATCCAACAAGGTTAGGATCATTCTATTAATATTTTCAGTCTTATCCACATTTACTTGATTAATGCCAGATTTGATCCACTTTGAAACGTTATTGGATTTTAGTTCTAAAAATTAAGACTAAAAATTATCAGATCTTGTAAATATGATGAAAATTTAAGATCTATCCATTGTCTTGTTTTGAATCCTATGAGAGAGTGCTGTGATTGGAACACTCTCATTTGTGTACACTCCATATGTCTAATGTTGGCCATGATGGGGTGTGTTGAAATCCTATATAGATTAGAGATATAACCAATATAGTCCTTATGAGGCTTGGGGCTCGGGAAATTCTCACTTTACAAACTTGTTTTCAGTTAGGACCTAAGTCCAAATTTTTAGAGTATTTTATATAAAAAAAAATTACTCAGAATTCTGTTTTAAAGGGGATGAAATAACTGAAGTCAGTCAACCTGAAAAGTCTCCAAATGCTGGACCAGTTGAAGCTGAAGATGGAAACTCCGAGAATTTGTCAAGTTCCTCATTAGAAGGCACTGAAGAATATGAGAAGCAAGAAGAGTCATGCTTGAGAGAACATCAATTAGTAGCATATAATCATCACCTTAATAACGAGCCTTCAATTCAACATGGTTAGTACAATTCTGTTAATATTTTGATAGTCTTATCCACATTTACTTGATTAGTCTCAGATTTGATCCACTTGTTGAAACGTTATTAGATTTTAATTTAAAAAATATGATTCTAAATTATAAGAGATTGTAAACATGATGAAAAAATTAAGAATTAAGATCTATTCTTTGTCTTGTTTTGAATTCTAGCAGATGAAGAGGAAACAACGGTGTTAATGATGAATGATGTGAACATGTCAAATAATATACATATTCAAGAGTCATCAAGTGTACATTCTGATCATGATGAGGCAGTCAATTTTCTCTCTGAACAATCGTTCCTTGGCACAGAATCAGTCCTAGAAGAAAATTTGCTAGATACTAATTCTCATTGTCAGCAGATTAAGGATGATGGTCTAGAAAAAGAAATGGAATCCCATGACAAGTTAGATGGAAAAGATGGAAATGAGTTTGGGAGCTGTTTGATAGATTCTTCTGGAGCAACACCTGATTCCTCAAGTATTGACAACAACACTAATGGTATTTCATTGAGCAAGGTAAATTATGCTACTGAGGATTCCCTAAACTCATTCATTGAATCTTTCCTTGAGGATAATCCACTTAACTTAGATCATGAGGAAAATTGCAAGGTACTTTATGAAGAAAGTATATTGAGAAGACGTGGATCAACAAAGGAGAATTCACATGATTACAAGCCGGGTCAATGCATGAAAGACTCATTGGAAGAATATAAGTCTGGCATGGTGTATACATGTGATATGGCAAGAGGGTCTAATGGAGACTGCAATGGAGGAAGAAATATATTACATGATTCTGATGTCTCCAGGCTTGTCACCAATGATCAAAGTGAAGAACCTAAAGTCACTGAGAATGGAGTCCCATACGAGGCTTATGTAAACAACTCCAGCAAGGCTTCAGAGGAAAGTGGTGGTGCTTCAGGAGAAAAACATTCTGTGGTTTCAGAAGCCAAAAGGATTTCTCTTGTTCCAGGGTTAACTGTTGCTGATTGCAGACATGAGGAGGGAGAGAATTATAAGAATAAAATTGAAGAAACAAATGAAAAGCCAGAAGCTTCACATGTCATGGTGAATACTTATGAGGAGACAGAAATGTCAGACCAATGCAATTCTGATCTGGTAGCTATAAATAAGGAAGAATCTTTTCCCTTGCAAAATAATTCCTCTTTGTTGCATATCTGTGATTGCCATCAGGACAATGTAAAGCAGACCAAAAGTTTTACTGCTACCAGCATGCCTAAGTCAGATTGGAAGCAAACAAATGAGAGCAACACATTTGATTCTTCTAAGTTAACAGTTCCATCTGTGGACTTGGTTGGCAATAAATCACTTGAGGAAGAAGGAGAAGAATGTCCGCAACACACAGAAGAAGCTTCATCTGAAGCGACAGAACTAACAATTTCAACAGCTACCAAGTCCATTGGACCATGTTCAAACAATTATATATTTGCAAATGGTGGTTATGAAACAAGGGACAGTGTATCAAGGCTCAGTACTGAATCAAACCCTGATCATCCTAACATCTCTTGTCAGATACAAAAGTCACCAAGCTTCAATCTCAACCTCAGAAAGGAAGCAAGGCCACAAGAATCAGATCAAACTCCATTGCTTCAACATGATAAGTCAGAAAACGAAAGCTTGTCAAAACAGACTGGTCTAAATCTCATGAAGTCAATGCCTCATGATGAATATGAGCAGTGCATGTTACATAGTGAAGAAATGCCAGTGGAAGAGAAAATAGTTACCATGGAGAGAAGTTACTCTAAGAAATCTAAAGCTCCATTCATAGCTCTCTTAAAAGAAGAAGAAGAGACTCATCTTCTAGACACGCCACAGATACAAGATAACCATGTTGGCACAAAGAATGCAGTGTCATCTACTTCACCTAAAAGAAAAGAGAAGCGAAAGCCTCGGTCTTCCTTCTTCAGCAGCTGCATGTGTTGTGCAACTGTACCTTGAGAATTACACCTACCATTCTATTTTACTTTTCTCCTTTGTGTTGTGAGTTCCTTCCTAATTTATCAAGGTTTTAATCTGAAAGTGAAGTTTTGATCTGGAGAATATTGATCGTCAATTTGGCATCATGGTTAGTTCAACCAACAGTGAGTGCACTGCATCAGCTATGATCATTCGTTTCTGTGATTATTTTCTGATGCAAGTTCAAGATGAAGTGATTCCTTGTTTGAGAGATTTCACAAATGTAGAGAGAGCAACTTTTCTGTCTTTTATTGTATGTTGCAACATTTGTTTATTTTGTTTTTTCACAGTGAACTTGGAGATTTATACTGATAAAAACTCATTATGGTGTTTGATTTTCGTCCCTGTGCCAACAAAAAATAGACCAATTTCTCATGCTTCTTAAAGCTCACCATTATAACTCAAACTTTTTTTCTATCTTAAAGCTTTTATGACCAAGAGTGGTATAAACATAATTTATAAAATTATACTTATGATATAAGTTGATCTTAAATTTATTAGAAAGTTAAGATAATTATATATAATTTTTATTTTAACTTCAATGATTATTTTTAGAAATTATAAAATCGTAACATTTAAGCTTAAATTTGATAAGTTGACATTTGATCATACATTGAGTTGTAGATCTCTTTTTAGATCTCTTTTTTGGGTGATTCCAATGCCATTGAAACTCGCATACAATAATACAACTCTTCATACTATCACAAAACTTAATTCGGTCATTCAAGTCTCCTCACAAGCCTTACAATGTAAAGAAGTTACTTTTCACACATTAGATGCGAGACTTATCTTCTAACTCACATAATTGTTGGAGAATAATTAAGTATAATCAAGATCCAATTCATCACGTAATCATATAAGATTTAATAGTGTTATTATTTTTCATTATCATACTTATTATTTTTATAAATAGATAATTTGATAAAGTCTTTGATTAAAATTATAGACTTGTCTTCATAATAGAGATTATGATAATGAGAAGCAATAGGATTGTTATGTACGAGACATCAATAATTAAATCTGGATAGATCAATATATATGTAAATGTCTTTATCGGATAAAAATTAATATATCTCATTTAATAATTACATATATAAATGATGCATATGTGAGTATGATCATTTAAAGTGATGCAATTGAGTCATTTCTAATGGTTTACATTACCTTAGTTGTCAATAGAAATTTATTAGTATTTTTATTTGATTTTCGAGTCTAAATTGTAGCTATAAATGCCTACTTTTCAATCCCAACAAACAAAACTCTATTTGATTAATCACATAGAAAGAAATAATGTAAATATTAAGGTATGTTCATACAAAAATTTCACATAGTAATATTATTTTCACCATCAAATAAATTTCTACTAACTATTAATAACTTGAATTACCCACCAATTACTCAACCATAAGTCATATTCCTCTATCTCTATCTTGCTCTGCAGATTGGGTCTCTTACAAGAACCTAAGGGTTTTCACAAAGATTCATGATATCCCGTGCATAAAGTCAAACATACATTCAAGGGTATTCACATGTCATCAAGATCAATAATTCAATACAAAAAAACAACTATCTCCTTCAAATAACCAAATAAGGGGGTTCCCAAGGTCTCCCTCCAGAGCAACAGATGGCACCAAACATTTCTCGTATTTATCTCAAACCAATAAGGTGCTCTTAAGGTCCCCATATAGAACAACAAAATCACAATAAAGAGATTAGGAGGCCAATCTTGCTACCCAAACAATTACCCTACATTCTAGAGTGAGATAACTCACTCCCTCTATCTTGATAGACATTTGACAAAGGACATAAATGTTTGGGATACACTCTAGCTAGTAGCCTCTACATTCTCCTCAAGAGTTTCTTGAGTTTTGAGAGAACGGAAGAAGCATGAGTTTTCAAAATGTAGAAAAAAACCGTAGTCTTAACCTTTATTTAAAAAATTTCCTAACCAACACCTAATTCTTTGGGTTAAAAGGCAAACCTTGTTCAAACTTCACTTCCCTCATATTTTAATTTAAACAAAATACATTATAATAAAATACACATCTCTCCCATTAATTATATAATAAACATTATAATTTTTCAAAGCTTTTCTCTCAATAATTTTTTTAGTATTAAAAATGCTGGATAGGGGATTACACTTGCATGACCACCGAACAAGGGATCAATGATATGTTAGAGATCCTCATATTAAACACTATCGTCCACTTATTGGTTAGCTGAAAATAGTGCCTAATTTGACTGAGGACTTTCTTGTTGAAGTGAGGGTTAATAGAGACTCACTATAGAAATTTCACCTTTGACGCTAAAGGATCTCCTTCGGTAAGTATCCTCATTAAAATAGGATTTTTATGGTCATAGGGGTGTCAAACTTATATCATAGAGAACGTAAAGTCAAACTGGATCCTAGACTATTTGTGCCAACCTACGATAACTCTCTTAATTAATTAAACACACTAAATTATTTTAAATATTATTTTATTTTAGAAAACACATTTTATTAATTTAAAAACACATACTGTAATTATTATTTTCAAAAACCCTTCTCATTTTAACAATTTTTTTAATTACTTTTCAAAAACATAGTTTTATTTATTTCATCTATTTTTTAAAATTTAGGATGCTACAAAAAATAAAAAGGTAGTGACCAAAAAAGAGTCAAAGGCAACAAAGTGTGAGATATATATAAGTGGCCTCTGCTGTTAATGACACATATGAGAAGACTATTTAGGTGTGCCCTAGCTAAGGACAGCTAATTGCAAACTCTCTATAGTTCAACTGGAATTTTCTTTTTTAAAGAGGGCACCATACATAACCACTTATTGAGAATTGTATTTGTATATATGCATTAATTTACTTTGTAGAAAGATCGTAAACATAAAGACAGTGTAACAACTTATATGATGGAGACTTTTTATTTTTTAAAATTATAATATTAATATAAAATATGTATGTTGAAAATAATCTTTGTTGAAAATAGTAAATATACACTAGATGAATAATTTTTTTAATACAATTTATTTCATATTCAATTTCAAAATTCGAATCGTAGGTAATTTGATTAAAAAATACGTATCTTTATCTTTGAGAAGCCAATGTTGGTTGATGAGCACTTGTTTAGTTTAATATTCTACCCCATAAAGATGGAAAAAAGAAACAAGTCCGTTGTTGCTGAAAGTCAAGAAAATGAAAAACTCACACCATAAGGTTTCTGTTTCTGATAATAAATCACGTCTGTCCAACTCCAACCCAACAAGTGATTTTTAGGTCAAAGTCCAAGAATATGAGCCGAAGGACTTCCCATTCAAAAATGTTGGATATGCTAAAACCCCGCAATTGATTTTCATAATTATAATGTAACATTTAATCAAGCTATGTTTAGTAATTTTTTTTAAATTATTTTAAGATTAAAGTTCAAGAATTTTAGTTAATGATAAATATCTTAAGATCAAACTCAAATAAATTGACATAAAATTTTAGCTTTATATATATTTGGGGAGTAATTATTCTAAAAATATCTTTAGCAATCAATCTTATCTATCATATCAACTCACTTGTGAATAAGCATTTTGACATAGTCACTCAAAAACCAATACATAATCACAAAACAAATGACTTAGTCATACATCCCAGACTGACTTAACCATGTTTAAGCTAACACAGTCATGTTGGGATTGAGATTTGGTAGCTGATCACATGATGTTACCAAACACACTCTATAACAAACTATCTCATTCTTGTTCTAAATGCTATAAACAAAGACTCATGTAACATGCTTGGTTATGTTCTTCTAGATACTCAAATATATTGTCACTTTGTTGATTCTCTAAGTGACTTAGGCATTGGAGTGCTTACAGGTGGTTTCTAGCTTTGCCCATCCTTGCTTGGGTATGTTGCTTCATTAGAGTTGTTGTTTGAGATACTTGTCATATTTCCTATTTGAACATGTTGTTTGTGAGAAACAATTTTCCTATTTGGTTAGGATGGTTAATTTGTACGATCACCAAATTATTTTGTTATGTTCCAATGCCCTTCCTTCCTCTACTACCTAAGGATGGAGTGGAGACTTTCACAACACCAAAGGAGAGTGTGGCTCCTCCCATACTTTCCCTTATTCTACTTATAATGTGTGTAGATGTTGTTACTTTTGATCATTCAGTTCCTGTTTCACCAATGAACCCCATTATGGTAAGAGCTTTACCATTTACTCTGTCATTTATTTTCATGGTTGAGGGTGTTACATTGCTTCAACAATAATTGATACCATGGATCAATAAAGACATTTGATTGAAGAGCTCAAGGAAAAGAGAGGACCATTCTAGTCCACCATTAGGAGTAGGTCACCTTATTAGGGGCAATTTGAAATCTTTATTCCTCAGAGATAACCTTCTATCATCCTTACCAACTAGTGTCCACCTGTACGTTAGTTTTTCTTGAAGTGTTATTCCCTTAGTGCAATCCATTGCTCTAATGGTTATGGTTATTATTCATAATGGCGAGGAGATAATTTCATCACTTCACCCTTTTTTCTCCTATTAGGGTTATGAATAAAGCATTTCTAACAACTCTCAACTCTAGAGTAATATTAAATGTTCATTTGGTAAATGTACCTATATCTAGATACTTTTAATTCTCTTTCTTCAATGTTAACTCTACTCGTCACTCTCTAAATTGGTTGCTTAGTTACATCGAGGGGGATGTACTCGTAAAAGGTACTCCAATGCTCAAGTAAATATTGTACTTGGAGTAATAAATACAAATATATTGTGAATAGTAACTTTACCTCGATATACGATACTATTTATACTAATTGTGATGGACTCAAATTCTAATGGGCCTCAACCTAGGATTACCAATTAGGTAATACATTGATAATATGCTTCGTACTGTGATTGGACTTTAATCATTTTAATTATCTCAATAAGAAATGGGAAATCATTCACTCTGGACAGTGACACAAGCAATCAACAGTCGAGGGAGTCAAATGGGTGCAAAGCCCTGAATGGGCATACATAGGTAGTTGACAGTAGGGGGTGCCAAATGGATGCAAGGCTTTGAACAAGCATGCCTGAACATGCAAACTAGGATGTGTCAGCATCATTGGATGTCGGACGAGTAATGCCTGGATGAATGAACAAGGATGCTTCCACATTTGAGGATGTCGAATGGGGAATGCCTAGATATACAAACAAAGATGCTTTGGCATTCTAAGATGCCAAGTGGGGAGTACTTGGAGTCTTAAGGGTGTTTCAGCGTCTAAGGATGTCGAATGACCTATCCAATATAGTAAAGTTTATGTTAATGTTGTCCTACAAAAGAGTAATAGATCCCTTGATGTGTAGGGCTTTTCAACTATCTTTGAAGCATAACATCTTGAAATGCTTGCAATCTGTAGAGTCAAGGTTGGTCAACTTTAGAGAATTGTCTAGAGCTGTTTTCATAACTAGTAAGGCTTGGCTAAAGACCAAAAACAAATCACAAAAGAATTCATTAGGGTATGGGTTAGCCTTTTCATGAATATGTTGCTTATTTCAACTAAAAGGTTAGGATGACAAGCAATCTTTTACTTGGATTGTTTTGATGTTGGCCAAAGATGAAGTTCGAGAGAGAACTCTTTTTCATACATCCATTACCAAGACATGATCGACCACTATTACCTTGGAAGAATTTTTTAAAAAAGCCAAAAAGTATATTAATTATGAAAATACTATTAAGTTGTAGAGAGAAAATGGAGAGCAAGAAAGAAAGCCTGAATCAAGGCAAGATAGGTCGATAAAGCAACCATATTTGGAGTATCAACCCATTTTTTGATTACCATGACCATACTACCCTTGACACTTCAAAGGGAGAATTTTGAACAAGGTATACAATGTTGAGTTTCAGGAGAAAGGAATTGATCTTGGAAAACCTTTGAGGTTGAGGGGGAGGATTGTTTAATGCATATATTATAGGTTCCTCAAATGCTTAGGACATGATACTGAAGATTGCTCCCAAGGACATGACACTAAAGATTGCTCCTAATGCAAATAAGCCTAAGGAAGAAGAAGTTTTTGAAGATGATGTATATGATCATTCAATGAATGATCGATGATAGCTTTTTGGACAATTGGGAAATGAAGAATTATCATCTAGCTAGATAAGAAAATATTGGAAGCCCTTATGATAGAGTTTGAACAAGGTCAACTTTTAAAGAAAGATCTCATATAACTTTGATTTAAAAAATAGAACCAAAGTCTATAGATGAAGCCTTAAAGGATGAAAGATGGATAAACACCATGAAAGAAAGAACTAGAGCAATTCAACATAGTGATGTATGAAAACTAGTTCTTATACTTGAAGACAAGATAGTCATAGGAACTCACTTGATCTTCAAAATCAAGTTGGACGAAATAGGTAAGAGTGTGAGAAACAAAACTCGTTTTGAAGCACAAGGTTACTCACAACAAGAATGTATTGATTGTACAAATTTTTTTGCACATGTTGCTTGTTTTGGTATGTCAAAAAGTCTCGCATTACTTAGAAATCGAAATCAATAGTTGTTTATAAACACTCTTCTTCCTAAATTCATTGGGGCAACTTTTCAGGACAAAACTGTTAAGTCTCAATTTTACCTCTTTTTGGATGAGACTTATACAAGATTTAATGATCAAATTCTTCCATTCTTTGTATCATTGCATATAATTGTTCTCATTTTGGTTTCTTTTGTATATGCAGGTATTCAAGTAGAGAATTGAGGAAAAAAAGGGTTAAAGGAGTGGAAAACAAAAGAATTAAGGAGCAGAGCAGGCAACCGCGCCAGGCGCCGTATTAATCTCGCCGGGCGGGCATAAAATAGAGTACTCTCAGCCTTTGGGAACCTCGCGCCGGGCGCAATTTATAATTGCGCCGGGCTCAATTCAAGGCCGAGAGCACATTGAGCATCAGGGGAAGCCCGCGCCGGGCGCGAAGTGTAACGCGCCGGGCGCAATAACCCTAATTTGTCTCCTCGGGCTGCATAAAAGGAAAATGTCGAGGGTTTTCTCCCTCATTCGCCCAGGGGCGCCTCCAGGAGCTCTGCAGGAGGGATTCTCAGGCTTCGGAAGCCTCCCACGGTGGATCATTCCTTCGGTTCTTCCTTTCCTCTTCCATCTCTATTTTAGTTTTCCCCTCTTTGTTTTGAGAGGTTCTATCCATTGTATTGGGGTTTTGATGTAACCAACAAACTCTATTGTAATCCCTTTGTGTTTAATGATATATATGTTTTGTTTCATTCCTTGTTGTGTATGATTCTATGCTTAATGCTTGCTTTGGCTTGATCACCCTTTGCATGATTTAAGGTTTCATTGAGTATTGGGAAATATCCTTGAAACTAGTTCTGAACATATGCCTAGTGGGAATTGTACCTAGGGATAGGGCTTGACCCATTAGTAGTCTTAAAACCCTAACCGGTAATGCGGGTGGAGGTATTGAGTACTCAAGGGATTGATATTCAATATTTTGCACCTAGGCTCTTTCTCTAAGGAATTAGGTCTGAGTAAATTTATGGTTGACTGAACAATGAATGTAACAAGAGACATAGGATTCACTAGTGTTTCTTTGGTGAAATCAAACCCCCACAACTTCAAGTGTCCATTTTACCATTTCTCACCCCAATTCATTTCTAATTCATTTATTTGTGTTTTAACAATTCCAGTAGTTTTGTTCTTAAATTCATATTCATATTTATTGGGATTGTTCTCAAGTCACAAGTAGCCAATGAATGCTTAGTTTACCTTCTAATCCCTGTGGATACGATATTTTTACTACTTGTACGGCCGGTATACTTGCCGTGTTTGAGTCCGTTGAGGGAAGTAACCTAATCTATAATTATAAATAAGAGTACTTCAACGGAAATCTCAACAAAAACTATAATGACTTCGTGAGTGCTAAAATAGACAACATCTCAAGCTTAGTGACTCTAATGATGCTAGTAGACTTAAGGTTGAGACACTTAACATTTAAAAAGATAAATAAATTCATAATTTCAATATATTATAACACAAATAATAATAATAATAATAATAATAATAATAACAATAATAATAATAACAATAACGATATCAACAACAAAAATTTATTTATTTATATTTAAATAGGTTAATTTGTTAAGCCTAAAAGATTTTTTGAATGACGTAGCACTTGGTCTCTTTAACTAAATAAGTTTTTATAAAAGACTTGACCCATATTTTCTAAAACAAAAGTTTGGCTCGGACTTGATATAAAGTAGGTCATAGGTCTTGGTTGAACAATTTGACCTATTTTCATCCCTACTTATTACTAGTTGATGAATAATCTCGGATACACCACTCATGTTGAGGTCTAAACATCTTGAGCATGAAGCTTGCAACACTAAATACTCATGAGTGATTAATAATGAATATCCATAGGTAGTAAGTGATCACCTAATGTTTTCAACAACAATCATTAAGATAGACTCTCATATTATCTTAATTAGAATAAGGGTTTAGGTCAAGTTTAACGCTACAAAATCAGCTTGAGGTGATAGTTATCCTTTATTTATATACATTATTTTGATCTTATCCATAATTATCGTGTGATACCCATAATTTTAAACATATCATTATTTTTAAATTTTAATAGATGAAATAATGTTTTGATTATTCATGCTATATATTGACTATAAAACTTAATCGGGAATTCTCGTTTCCTCTTTTAAATAAAGTTAATTTATACAAGAACTTAAAAGTAATTGCTAATAGATAAAGTAAAAGAAAAAAGTTAATATCAAGAGACATTTATAATGAAATAAAATAAATTGTAGCATACATTAATCTTTCAAGAAAGAAAGTGTCTAACTTAAGAGGTTCTTAGAAATGAACTCTAATTAATTTAAAACTGAAAGAATAATTATGGGTTGGAGTTTGAACAAATCAAACGGTTTGGCTGAGAAGCCACTCTAATGCATCGGCCATTCATATCATCATCATCATCTACAAATAAAATACAACAAACATATTAATAGGAAGACTTATTTGTTGGGAGGGAAATTGGGATCCAAAGGAATTCGAATAAGAATATGTTGGTTGAAAGTTTCATCCAATGTTCATCATCATCTTGACAAATTCATCATAGTTAACTTGACCATCACCATCCAAATCTGCTTCTTTGATCATCTGCTCCACCTCTTCATCAGTTAGTTTTTCCCCAAGATTGATCATAACGTGTCTCAACTGCATAACACGCAAACATTTTAATATATATACATGGCACATGTGCATGTCTTTCTGCATAATGCATATACGTACTCATTACTTGATACTAATAAATTAAGAGAGTGAAAGCTAAAAAGTAAGATTCTCTTCCTCTTCTTATTCAAATGTCAAACTCCAATGTTTTTTTTTTTATTTATAAAAAATCAAATAGCTATTATTCATAGGATGCGGAAAGGTATAAAGTACTGTCCTGAACGTGCACGTGAAATTGTTGTACCTTTTTCATCGCCATATATGAATTTATGTACACACCTCTTTCATTCCACTTTTCATATGCAACTATGGAAAATGTTGTATTATTAATAATAATGAAATGAAAATTTTATTTATGACTGATATTTTATTTTAAGATTATTGATATTTTACAAATTTTAAATTTAATTAAATTATTTTTATACATGTTCCTACTTAAAATAATTAAATTTGATCTGAGTACATTAATTAGATTTGGTCTTTAGTCACATATATATATATATATATATATATATATATATACATACATACATATATATATATATATATAGAGGAGGGTTCAAACGACACCGGTGTAACTTTT